ACACACACACACACACTTTTAATCCTCTTCCTATTTCCATTCCACCTCTCATCCATATATTTTGGAAAAATATCTCTTCTTTTTCTCTTCACTTCCTGTCATTTTCCTTTTTATTCTCTCTCAATAAGGCCAAATGTGAGTCCCCTTCCCCACTACAAATGACTGTTAGATAAAGAGGGTGCTAAGAAGGGACGCCTGGGTGGCTCAGTTGGTTAAGCATCTGACTTGATTTCAGCTCAGGTCATGATCTCAGGGTCTTGAGATCCAGCTCTGCCTCAGTCCTGGGTCAGGACCCCCACCTCAGGGGCCCCTCACAGAGTCTGCTTGGGATTACCTTTCTCCTTCTCCCTCTGCCCCGTCCCCTGCTCACATCCTCTCTCTCTCTCAAATAAATAAATAAATAAATCTTTAAAAAAAAAAATAGTGCTAAGAACACCTCAATACTAACAAAAATGAAACTGGCAACTTCCAAAGTGAGAGAGGCTATATTCTAGAACAAAATAGCAACTTTCTAAGACCATATTTAAGTAAAGAAGGGACCTAGAATAATCACCTTAGAAGCAATTTTAAACTATGCTTGCTTTCTATGATCCTTTCCCATTCTGATTTTCCCTCAGCGGTGCATATAAGAATTTTCAGTGAGATCCTATGTAATATCACACACACACACACACACACACACACACACACACACACACACACAGCTTAACACTCTGAGAGGCATGAATCCGAGAATTTAAACATGTCTGAGCTTGGCTAGGACCACTGATTATTTGCAGAAAAGCCCAAAGAGGAATCTTTTAGAAAATAAGTCACCCTGAAGAAGGGAGCCTTGAGGTGTACAACTTTGAAGAACAATAAGCCATGGATTTAGGAACAAAAATGATGCAGATATATAATATCCTGCTGGATAAAAGCAAATATTAACATAAACCCCTGCCAATTTACATTAACCCTGGTTATCAATAAAAAGCTTGTCTCTGAGTGAGAACATAGAGATACCGTCAAAATAAAATTCAAACATGGCTTCTGAATCTGTTAGGTCCCTCACTAGGAAACTCTGTGTCATGCTTACTAAATGAATAATAAATCAGGCTACCACATTTTATGCAACCTCTTAAATGAAGAAGTGCTAGAATGGAAAGTTGTTTGTGTGAAAAATTAGAGTGTTTGATTTGAATGTTGAAATGAAGCTAAGAAACCTCTCCGGTCTTTTTTGGTTTTCATCATCCCTAAGATGTAGGCAGAGGGGCAGGTGCCAGGAGAAGGAGCAGGCAAGAAAAAAAACTCTCTGGCTGAGATTGCAGCCAGCTCAGAGAGTCTGGGACTTGCCCTGTAGCTGGCTTGATGGAGGAGTCTCAGCTCAGTAAGGTGAAAACAGAATGGTTTTATCTCTTCTAATAACTCTGAACCCTACTTCCACTCACTGGAGGGGGATGAGGGAGAGAAAACTTAATCTTGTCCAATAATGGAATTTGAGTCCCATTGGGGACTCCAGTTCAGTGACACTTGTCTAAGCTGGTTTTTAAATTTTAACACTCATGACAGGTTGAACATCTCCCCTCTAAACACATTAGATCTTTTCTACAGCTGTGCAGCTTGCTCTCCTCTGTATTCTCTCCTCTTTCTAGGTGGCCTTTCTCCTTGGTATTACCTCTCCCACCCCTCATGTGCCCCAGGATTCCCATTAATGGTAAACACTTAGCTCCTAGGCAGTTGATTCCTTAAAACTAGCTCTAAGGGTTGGGGCTCTGTGAGAAGGGTCATTTGGTCTCCCCTAAGTCCCCACCGATGGTGTAGGCTGTGCCTTTCATTGTGTCCCTTGCTCTGCTGGGACTGTCTCCCTCAGACTGACCTTGGCATCCTCAACAGGGTGAATCTTGGGAAACCCTCATTCCCACTTCCCAAGGGATTTTCTTTAGACCTGCAGAGCACTGGCTATGAAAGATGGGGCTTTGTCCCAGGTTCCAGAGTCACTGTCAGACTTCACAGACTTCCTCTCAGGGTCTTCTGGCTTTTGTTGGTGGGAACCTGCTGAACATCGAGAGAAGTGAGGGAAGCGAGGATTTACTATACTATAAAATCTGCTTTCCTGGAAACTCTCCTTTCCCTTCCCTGACAAGGAGGAGAGGGTTAGTAGTTCCAATGAAGGTTTTTCTGGACAGTCCAACCTCTGCAAGCCCTGAGGTGGGATGCACCTTGGCAGGCCAATCTGTGAACATAAAAGACAATAAGGAAGATGAGAACTGTTCTCAAGTGTGGGCCACCTCCATCATATACCTGCACTAGTGAGAACTTGAGGTGGGGGTTGGATGGGGCAGGAAAGACTCTCAGTTGTTTCCTCACACTCAGGTCAACTAAAAAGAAAATAATTTGATAAGAAAGCCTCAACCTCTATGTGGAGTGCAAAGTATCCGTGGAAAGAAGTAGAGACGTGCAGGGAAAGAACACATGTGAGTGTGGGGGTGGAATTTAGAGGAAATGTCAGGAAGGGTACATTACCTGGTTCATGAATGTGACCGTTAATGGGTAATTTTGAGTTTTAGACTTGAAGGATCAAAGGACTGTGTCAAAGGGGAAGAAGCAATCAAGGTTGCACAGCTATTAATAAAAAGTCATTTGGGGGACGTGAAAGGCAGGTTTTCTGAAGATCAAGCAAAGGCAAGCTTCTCAAGTCAGAAAATTTAGTGAAAGCAAAAGTAATAGTGAAAGCACCACTCAACGCAACTCTAAGACTAAAGACAAATGTATTCTTAAGAGGCAAGGCTGGAATGAGGGCCTGGGGATGAAGGCACACATCAAGGGAACACAGGCTCTCGCACAGTGGCCTGACTGAAAGGAAGGAAACGGACTCTCCAAATCCCATAAAACTGCTACCCGTCACGTGGGGGGGTCACATGTTGTATGTTGTAGTAAGATCTAAAACGCATCTTCTGAATACAAACCGTCACTTAACAGTTGTTCATTAACTGTGTGCAATCCCTCTCCTGATGTTTTAGCAAAATATTTATTTTGTTATGGACAACATAGGCATCTATTGACTACAAGTCATCTTTTGAACATTTGCTTGTTAAATGTGTCCAATTTCTCTCATTTTTTATTAATGTATTTGATGATCTAGTGATGAAACAACATTTAGATTCTATAAAAGAGAGAAAGACACACATACACAGACAGACAGACTGTGTAGATAGTGTCTACACTGGAAGAAAAAGACAATTCCCAGAAGAATTTCAAAGATATTTCTTAATAAAGCCTTGTTAAATGTCATTTGTTTGAGAGTAATGCCTATCAACTTTGGTCAAAAGTTTAAAGAAGACATGAGGGAAGAATGGTTGAGAGCATAGACCTTGGAGTTAGAGCAAATAGGAGAAATCCCAGCTCTGCTCTTTACCCACTGTGTGACCTTGGGAACACTGCTTACCTATCTGGGCCACAGTTGCATTCCTCTATAAAATGATAACACTAACCATGTCAAAAAGGATTGTAATGAACTTTCAATGAGAAAATTAAAAAAAAAAATTGACCTAATGTATCTTTTCCATGGAGTTATACTGTTTCCAATCATGTTTTTATGCCAAATTGGGCTAATGAAATATTGCCCTTAAGGACCCTTAGACCCAGCATATCATATCAATGTATATGATTAGCACAAGTTTGAGGCTGACTTAGATTCCTTACAAGAATTGCACAGAGGTTATTGTTATTACTATTTTGTGGGTAAGCACAATGTAGGCCAGTAACTTTAGTATTCTGCCCAAAGAGCACAACTAATGAGAAGTAAACTGAGCAAAACTTGTCTCTCTCTAAACACACTTAGTTTCTGGGGAGTTCAGTTCAAGATGGCTAATGCAGGAAGATCCTGAATTCACCTCCTCCCACAGACATACTGAATTTACAGCTACATATGGACAATATCCCTTGGGAAAAAAAAAGCAAACCTAAAAACTGGCAGAGCAACCCCTTTATATCGGGCAAACGAGAGGGAAACCACATCAGAACAGGTAGGAAAGGCTGGGACATAATCTTGCAGTAAACCCCAACCCCAGTACAGTGACTCACAATCAGGAGGGAACTCAAAATACAGAAGTTCCTCCTGAGGAATGAAGGATTGTACTGTACATCAGGCACCCCAAATACTAAGACCAGCACCTGAAAGACAAGCCTGCAAAACATCTGGCTTCGAAGATCAGAGGGGTTCCAGTGCCCATGAGACCTGCAGGGCTATGGCCAAGTGAGGCAAGGCTCTTAAAAGGCCCGTGTGCAGACTCACCTGTCCCAGGACCCCATGCAGAAGTAGCCCTTTGAAAAGTGCCCAGACTTTATGTGAAAAAGACTGGTCTCCTAATTTTGAAGTATGGGTCTGAGAGCCAGAGGCCTGCTGGGATTTTCTCTCAGGTCAGAGAATGGTGGGAGCCATCTTCCTGCTCTCTGCCTTGCTAAAGCTAGTGGGCACCATCTTTTTAAATTTTTTCTTTTTATTTCTTTACTTTTTTTCTCTCTCTTTTCTTTCTCCCCCTCCCTCTTCTCCCTCTCTGAGAAAGAGGTCCCGTATCCCACGG